TGTCTACAAAGGTCAAATTATACAAACATGTGTTAATTATAACATGTTAAAAATCAARCTACTAAATTAATGGGTTTTAGGTTCTACCAGACGAGCACCATGCTCCGAAAATGGTATCGATCCAYCGGTGTGTAGCGAAACTTGGCTATCACGGTTCTCATGCGCCACACCGGAAAGAGCCTTCCAATTATCACTGTTCCAACGATCGACCATCTGGACCCACACCTCTGAAGATATCCAGTTGGGGGGGGGGGATTCTTCAACACACTCATATCCCGGTGGGGGTCCGTTTTATCGTACTGAGGATACCCATTCATCCTTGCTTTTTCTCCAGCTTTCTTCTTCGCGGCACTCATGTTATCATTATACGGCTTGGCCGACTTTCTCTCCCATATCTCCAACATCTGGGCATCCAAAGCCGGATCCCAAATATAATAGCCCTGTACGTAAAAGTTTAGACGATTATTAGGTTCAATACATAAATTATAATAAGTTGAATATATAACACAAGCCTGAAACCGCTCCCACATTTGGCGTCTCACATCCTTTGGGATTTTCTCCCAAGTGGTCCATGGGCCGTCAAACAGCTCTCGGTTGATCTTGGTGATCCGCCGGATCACTTTGGTGTCATTGAAACTATATAATGACGAATTGAATTAGCATCAATACAAATAATATATTTTTATCAGTGACTATAATTTGTTATGAATCCTTTTCGTAACAAGTCTATATGAATCTCGTCTCTATTTTTGAACTTTTGAAGTTGACATTTCTTACAAGGACATCTTGCCCTAGATCGCTCATTAGATAAAGCAAAATCCAAAAATCCAACTACTTCGACTTGGAAAACTGGATTTATAGTCCCGTTTCTATTTATTCGCTTATACATCCATCCTCTATCAGCATTAGTCGACATAGCTACAAATTTACGAAATTATGTGTCAGTTTAATTAGTTGTTAATTATATGTAATATAAAAGTCCTAACATTTGCCCAATAATTGACAACCTAACGTTTGCCCAGTAATTGACAACCCATTTCTAGCATAATATAGACCTCAATTTCGTTTAAAAATACAAGTCCTAACGTTTTCCCAACAATTGGCAACCCAWTTCTAACGTAAATTATATCTCTATTTCGTTTAAAAATACAAGTCCTAACATTTGCCCAACAATTGGCAACTTATTTCTAATTAAAAATTAAGACCTCAATTTCGTTTAAAAATACAAGTCCTAACGTTTGCCCAATTATTGACAACCCATTTCTAGCATAATATAGACCTCAATTTCTTTTAAAAATACAAGTCCTAACGTTTGCCCAACAATTGGCAAC